TGGCTGCCGGTAAGAACGTATTGTTATCATGGGATATGTCCTTATATGTCCTTATAGCTTATGTCCAGTGTTATGTCAGAGGACCAGAACGATTTGTGGTGCAACCAGCTAATACAGCCTGCAATCTTGAAATATGCACCAAGCTCTAACCGTACTGCCGGGGAAGAATATTTTATCGCAGTAGCAGTGCTGCTTTAGCAGTTTTAACAGCTAGCAGCTTTAGCAGTATTGAGAAAACCAAACATAGCGTTGGGTATGGCGATTTTTCTGCAAGTATATTTTGTTCGCGCTGAAAATCACTTCTTTTGTTATGGAATGAAATCATTTCGCTTCATCATATTTCTAACGATGTCCACGCCTTAAACGCCCCCCCCCCCCCTTCCCAATTATAGCCGTTAGTGAAATCCCCTCCCCCCTCCTCCGTTTCCGGTGTGAGTTACACCAGCCCTACGGCCTCTGTTTTTAATAACGTGAATGACGCTCAAACTATGCCTGCTGTATTCCACGGGTTGCATCCGACTGAATTCAACAGCCGTCTGGCTCTTCACTCGCGGTGCCGTGACTCGTCGCTAAGACGACGCATCACCGCCGCCCCGCCCAGCTCGAACAGCTGCGGCTGCCCAGCTCGAACAGCTGCGGCCGGTGCTGGAGGCGTCAGCCGTGTTCTGCAGCCGTTTTGCAGCTGTTCTGCAGCAAGCTCTCAGCAGCTCGCCGGCGCCCGCAGCAGAGTGTTGCCGACGCTCCTGGAGCCCCTGACATTGAGCCTCCCGAGGTCTCCACCTCCCGCTGCGACCCTCCGAGCGGCAGCCTTGGGCCGACGTGTCAGCTATAGTGCTTGGGCTGGCAGCTGGGTTGTAACGAGACGTCGGATGGGTTTGCCGCGTCCCACGCAGTGTGTACAAGTCACCTTAGCAAAACGTGCTCTGGAGGCCGAAAAACTGTCACTAAAGTCCTGAAAGGAGATCGAAGTCAGCAGATAAACTAATCCATCCAATGAAAGCGAGACCGAAACTTGAGAAAAGGCTTGGTGCCCTAAATCGTCCGGCATCGCAATTAGGTGAGACTGGCTTGAAAGCATCACTGGCACTCCAATACCGGCCAACTATCAGGATCTGACAAAAATGACAGCATTGCCTAACAGAATACGTTTCATCAGACAAGTCCACTTCGTAGCTCGCATAGTAACCGCGATAGCGCACAGTTGTGTCATCACCAGCCTTCACAGTGTTGTGTGTCTGCGGCAGCGATCTGCTTCTCGACCCAGTGGCTCATTGGAAGCACGAAAACTGTACTAATGCTCCTCCATTTGCATCAAAAGATAATGCCCAGGAATATTAGATCAGCCCGACTGTCGGCAGATCATACGAACAGTAGGCCATGTGGGCGGCCCGTTTACCATGCGGATTCCATCCAATTCAATTAAAGCTAATGTGATCGTTTTGGGCACGTGCCCTGCGCCCAGCAGCTCCTCGCTGACACTAGTTCCTTTCACTGGCACGACGGATGCGTTGTGCTTTGACGGCGGTCATGACCATGCATTTGTATGCAACTGGTGGAGCCCCTCGTAAACTTGTGTACTGGACGGCGTAGCTTGACTGAAGCTTGGATACATACATTGCATGCATCGCTGTAGCTGCACCGCCACAGCTTCATTGGTGCTTTCTTCTGTCAGCAACTCATCTTCGAGGACAGTAAGCCCACAAAGATGATCTACGGGTCTGTTTCGGCATGGGAGTGCACGAGTGCCTGTTAATGTATCCGAAGCACGCTTTCCACGGAGGCTGACGCGAACACGGCTTCAGGAACGATGAGTCCCTTGCACGCAAGAGCCCGGGCTTTGAGGTCTGCTATGCTGCACCATGGCGTCAAAGGATGCCCAGCCGTCCTGCAATATTGCAGGGTTCCTTTAGGGCTTCTACACGTCTACATTTTAGAGAGCAGCTCGTTCCGACCGGCACCGGTCGTGTCCGCGTCACATTTGCAACGCCACGCCGTGCTGGCTGTCGCCAGCGGCCGGGCCACGTCACCTGCTGCGCCAGCGGCGCCACTGCGCCACGATTGGGGGCGGCGCGCTCTATCGATCATCCCACCGCCGCCCGGGAGGGCTGAGCGTGATAAATTGTGGACACACTCGAGTGGGCGTCCGTAAATAGGCTCATATGCCACAGCGGCCCGCGGTCGCCCGCGCTCCAAGGCCGCCTGAACTTCACTGGAGCTCGAGACGGCGTGCGCCGCCACGTCTATGACCGGCGCGGCGCGCGCACCTGGCGCGAGGCTGCTGAGAGGCACCCGGAGGAGTGGGCCCGTCCCTTCCGCAGCCTTTGGTGCAGGCGTGCTGTCTTGGCAACGGACCGAGTAGCCGCGGAGTAGAGGGTGTCGTTCCAAGTTTACTTACACGCCCGTGCTGTTTGCCCCCCCCCCGCCCCGTCGTTCCAGAGGAATGTTTACGATTGTGCATAGTGTACAATGCCAGGAGGCCTTGGGCAGTGGGTCGTAAAACATCGGGTGTGACAAAAGTCAAAGCTTGGCGTGGGCGCAGTACCATTACGGCTGTGAATAAGCTGTAACAATTACGCCTTACAGCTTAAGTCGCCTCCATACCTTTATTGTGCGTGCTCGAAGCATTTCGAAGAATAATGCACTTTAAAATATAGAGGGATTGGGCCGGATTTCGATTATGTTAGAATCTGTGCTGCTCTAGGATTTCTACTGATTTGGCGAGAGAACGGTAAGTTTTTTGTTTTTTTTTGTTGTGTTTGCTTTCGTATGATTCAGCAGCATCAGAGTGTAGCAATGACCGTAGCCCTTAATTATACTTCAAGGGCATCCCAATGCTTGCCATAAAAACTAGAGGCATGACGAGGCTGATCGCTTGTCTTGGACATGAGAAGGCCCGGGGCTCCTGTGCTCCGAAGTTGTGGTACAGTTCCCTGCCGAGTCGTCCAAGGTAGGCTCATGACGGGAGGCAGAAACAGTAGTCATGCCTAAGATTGTGTGAATTGAGAGTTCTTGATGCAGGTATTATACCTCCGCATCATTTCGCTGAAAGTCGCTTTTTCACAGACGGAGTGCTTCTCACAAAATGCACGTCAAGTTGAGCTGAAGGGCTGGGACTACCGATAATTTTTTGATTGGAAGTCGCCATGCTTCAGGTTTGCAGAACATTTTCAATTCCAATTCATACCTTGCATAATCGGAGTACATTTAATGTTCAGCTTTCACCTTCACTGATAGATAGTCATAGGATATTTCCATTGGGTCACAAGACAAGATTATGATGGTTTATTTCACCAATGTGACGAGCCAAGAGAGGCACGTCACAGAAAAAATCAAAATGCTAAAAACGATATGCAAACATCTAATTCATTAATTTGAGGCGTACGCCCCTTTCTCTCTCGCTCTCTCTCTCTGTCCGTCCGTTTGTCCGTAGCGCTTTAGCAAGATGCAAAACAAACGGCAGCACGGATTGGCGTGAAATGACACATACCACAGTTCTACGCGACGATCCACGCCATAGATCCCCGCCCGTGCAATACCAGTGTCGTTAACAGCGCATGCGGGCAGGAGGCCTGAACAGGGGACGTTTTTCATGTTCATTTTCCAGCGAGCAAGCGGGAAGCTCTTGAGAATCTAAACATTTGCATTTCAGTGACTCAGAGAATGGGCGGCGCTGAAAGTTCCGCGTCCTTTTCTTTCCATTCCAAGCATGCCGAAGACGTATTGCAGCGACGATGTATTCAGCGTCATTAAGGACTGTTCCATGGCTTATGCACAACATTTTAAATCATCACACGTGTTGCCTACGACGGGTGTAGCAATGCAAGAGCAAACATACCATGCACGCGTGCAAGCCGGCCTTTCGCTGCGCAGCGTCCACGCCATGGTCTAGCTGTGCGCACTCTACCGGTGCCTTGGAGGCACCCACAATCGTGCCCGCCTCTGCCCAGCCCTGCAGGTGCAGCTGTCACCGTTTTTGCTGTCACGTGACCAGGTATACCCATGTAGGTCGCCCGGGACCGCGCCCGGCGGATGGACATGACCCGGAATGACGCGGATCTGCAGTTGGCGTACGAACCCATCTCTCAGTCGGGGGGTATGTGCGGCTCCCGGCCGGCACCATGGCTCCGGGCGCTGCTCTGACCACTGCAGTCGCCAGGGCCATAACTTTGGAGTGAGCGACAGCGTGCGACGCGCAACCCATTAAAAGGCAGCGGCTTAGTACAGGCAGGGGGCGAACAAGCTTCTCTGACGTGAGAGGTTTCACTTGGCTGGAGTGGTTTAAACGATTGACGGCGGGCACCGCGTGGAATCGAGCCCCGTGAGACCATACCACCATAAGATGAAATGTTGAACTTTCATGGAAAGTAGGTGGGCTGTGGCATCTCTCCCTCGATATCGCCCTCTCCCCTCTAATTACCTACGTCAAGAATCGCAAGCCCGATTGCGTCGAACTCTATGTCAGCCTATAAATGGGTATGGGCCATCTATACTGACATGCAAATATAGGTTCTGTCGCTTACTCTCGACTGCATATAAAATCTGACGGTATCTCCGACACGCTCGGCACGCCTGATCGCTGAGCTTGTATCTGTCGCCAGATGGCAGGTTTGATGCGCTCTCGTGCCGCCAGCGCCAGCTGAGACGCTCCTGGCTCCGCTGCTGCCCACACTGGGCGGCGCTGTCTGAGCTGTTTAGTAAGGCGGCGGGCGTACTCCGGCCGCCGCCGGATGTGTGCCGCCGCCGGGAGATCCGTGTCCTACACGATGGCCGTTGTTCGCACGTCGCGGCATGGCGTCGCGGGATGCCGCTCTTCACCGCGCTTGACCCGGCCAGTTTGTGTTTACTAATGGCGTGCGAAACATGACGCGCAGTACGCAAACTGGTCTGTTCTTTCTTTCAGTCGTGCGCCTCATTTATGGCGGTTTCCGGCCGCCAACCGTCCCTGAAGTCCACGAAGACGCAATATGATCAAGTGGAGGATCGCGCAGCGCTGAGGCCTACAGGCACTGACCTTGAATCTCGCGTCAGCCAATAGGAGCTCAGACATGGCGGGACCCAAAAAGAAATGCCCTAAGCCACTGCGAATCTCGACCAGGAAAACCCCCGAAAGAACGTCTCCATCAGGTATGTTCGGACGGCTGTTTGCTAGTGGTCGATATACAACACAAACATGAGGTTAAAACAAGTATCACAATGCTCTCGAAGCTGACCCAGGGGAGATGAGTGTACCCCACCGAGGTCAGTGAGATCCGGACCCCAGTGGCCGGTAACTTTTGTGTAGATTCAACGAGCTGTTGTGCTTGACCGTATAAAATGACACCTAAACAAACATGAAACCAGTGACATTTAAGGGATGGTTAGATGCGTACTTCATCGGGTGGCACAACGGATCCAGAACGCCTCTTGGGGAGGGTGGTGTGTGTGTGTGAAAAAGCGGCTTTGGCTGTTAGAAAAATCTCGTCGGATTTCGCTTTTTACATTAAGCAGTGTCGAAAACAAATCATATTCATGGAAAGCCCTTAGATGCTATCAGCCTGCAGAAATGTGTCGTGTGTATACTTTCTTGACTTTGACCATCTTGGTCGGGATTGCGATTGTATTGATTACGTCGACTGACTGTTTAGATTCCCGTTTGAATGCACTCTTGGCTGGAGTAGTTAGCTTCATTCATCATTCACCTATGACCGAACGATAAATGGTATGAACTTCAAATTTCTACATCTCACTATGTCGTTTTAGGGTCTTTCTGCTTGTTCTGCGCAGATGTGAATCCTTTCATTCAGAGTACCGCAATCGCCTCATCACTTCTAGCTGTCGCCGAAAGTCGGATCTCGAAATCCTTGGTGAAAGGTAGGTCAACCCGAATATTTTTCGTCTGTCTTGCCGAAGACAAGTTGATGTGGCCCTGATGTGACGGCGCCAGCTCGGTTGACACGAGCGGGTATATCGCAGCCCTCTGTCGATGACTGCTCGTGGCGGCGGGGTCGGTTCGGGGCCCCGGTTGACACGAGCGGTATATCGCAGCCCTCTGTCGATGACTGCTCGTGGCGGCGGGGGTCGGTTCGGGGCCCCGGTTGACACGAGCGGTATATCGCAGCCCTCTGTCGATGACTGCTCGTGGCGGCGGGGTCGGTTCGGGGCCCCGGTTGACACGAGCGGTATATCGCAGCCCTCTGCCGATGACTGCTCGCTGGCGGCGGGGTCGGTCGGGGCCCGGTTGACACGAGCGGTATATCGCAGCCCTGTCGATGACTGCTCGCGCGGCGGGGCGGTTCGGGGCCCCGGTTGACACGAGCTATATATCGCAGCCCTCTGTCGATGACTGCTCGTGGCGGCGGGGCCGGCTCGGGGCCCCGGTTCGGTGCCTCGCCGTGCCGCAGCGACTCATCCGGCTTCCAGAGCCTTCCCAGCCCCGCCAGCGCCAGCCCCGACGGCAGCCGCTGCAGCGACGGTGAGCGACTCTTCACCAACCGCAGCAACATGCAGATCAAGAGCAGGTGAGTGACCGGCATGATGGTGCTGCAGTAGTCGAAGCATGCGTTCCCAGGGTGCATTGGGATAAAGCAACAATTGGTTTGGAAAACCACGAAACAAAAACTAGCTGCAAAGTCCTAAAATGTTTTGAAATGTTCGGAATGTGGTTTGAATCACTTAAAATAATTTGTTTCCCAAATATTTTACTCCGGGATTTCTTGCCTCGTTTGACGCCTTCAAACTGCGTGGGAGTTGATACCCCCCCCATATTCAGATCTGATGAGCTTGTCGGACTAATTGCTAGTTAAAACATCACACATTACTCCTGGGCCGCAGGACGCCATTGCAGATAGTGTATAATTGTTTACGGTTCAGTTAATTCAGTCCCCAAACCAGTTCAATTCAGTCCATTCTTACTCCGAAAAAGGCACCACTTAAGTGCACATTGATCCAAAGTCGTCACAATGATGCCGGTGAATGGAACAAAATAAATTAATGAAGGTACATCATGCATCCCACTCGTGTATCCATCCCGCACACAGAACGTCTACCCTCTGATGCCATGTGATATGTGAGGATTGGGGCCCTTGTCTTCCATCACGTCTGCACGGTTCTGATTGCTTTGAAATTATTTGTTTGATACCAGTACGCATGCTTACCATTCTCAATCACTCGTGTTTATCGCTTGGCGTGGTACTAGATCACGTGGTCAAGCACTGCTTTAAAGTCAAAGCAAAGCAGCTATGCTACGGGTGTTAGGTGTCAATTTATGTCAGCAGCTCATAAATCACCTCCATCGTGTAATGGCCAGTGTGCAACCACCAAGATGCATCAAATGTGCGTGCGACAGGATGGGCTCTGAATCCATATCCCTCCCAAGCGAGCTGCGTTCCATGCGAGTTACCAGCGGTGCACACCCCACATCACTTTGCACAATCGTGCAGTAATTTCAACGCACATTTTGATTTGAAACATGCTGGTTGTATTCTTGAAATAAGTTTTCTTGCCTCGTTTCAAATTTAGAAGCATCGAAATATAGCCGCTTGAATTAAAAATAGATTTCTAAGCAACGCCGCTGATTCCAATCTGATTTTGCCTGCCGCCATTTCTAGTTCAGAAATATTCGTATCAGGCGAAGGTGAATCGCATGGACTTCACGTCACGTCATCCTGCTGCGTAGGACAAAACCATGCGTGTGTCATTGCGAAGCCCGGCACGCGGGATTTTGTCTTCGCAAGAAAAAGCGTCAACTGATACGTGTACGTGCCCATCATAAGACCGAGTTTTGTTAACGGCAAGGCTTCTGGCTCGGTAAGGGGGTTCTGAAGGCGCCGCTTGAAACTTGTCTCATGGTAACAATTTGTCTATAAAATAAGCCACCCGACAGTTTCGTTAATGACAAAGCTACCTTTATTATGAGGTACATTTTTTATTGTTTGATGCCCATCCCGAGCTATTTTTGGTTCGGCGACATGGAGAGGCGCAGACACACGCACCGTAGACTAATACGATAAAGGCCTCATTGTTCGAAGCCCTAGCGGAACAGTCTTGACCTCGCGCCTACTGTCAGGATCCTGCCATAGCACAAAGTGGGGCTGTACACAAGACATGCACACAGTGGGCCTATATGTACACATTAGGCCTATTCCCACTTCCCGAGCCCGGCGATCAGAGGACTGCTCCGGTGACCCAGTCAGGCTGTGCGCTCGACACTGTTTTGTCACCGAACCGACGGGTCTGAAGGCAGACCGCGCCCGTGAATCCCTCTTCGTGGGTGTTGGCCGACACTGCGTTAATCCCGCGGCGGAGCGATCTCCATTTGATCTCCATTCTCCATTCTCATCTCCATTCGCGGCCGCCTCCTGGGCGGGAGCCAAAGACCTGCCGAAGCCAGGCTTGAACTAAAGACTTCCCGGCGACACTGGCACGCGGACTAATCAATTGCACTGCCAAAGTGGTCGGGCCAGGGTCCTTTCTAAGCATTATTTGCTGCAGTGCCCTCGACGTTGTCACCCCAGCACATTAACTTCAGTTCAACAGGCATTTTGTCAAAGTATTTTGGTGTCACACGTAGCGCCAGGACGCAGGAGCTCCGTTCAAATACATTCGGCTCGACCCGTTCCACAACGCTTCAGCTATGTAGTAGTCGAAGACTATAGTTGGACTGTTCAACCATGTAGCTCGCTCTACGGCGACTCCAGTGGTGTGTTGGGTGGTGCCCCGAGGCCGGGGTTACCCCATAAGATGAAACCTTTGAAAAGTCTCCATAGCTCGGTTACCTTTCAAATTGTCATGGTTTTCACAAGTGTAGATGAAAACGTCCATTTAATCCAGAAATTCGCAATAAAGCTGAGGACATTGTCCTCAGATCTTCTAAGCAGCAAAGAATATCGGACTTTTTGCTACCATCGCTTCCGCCGCGTGGAAGGTTCCCCAACTTGACATGCGGCTGAGACGGTTGACACTGTCGTTGACAGTGAGAGCGCCGAGTCCGTGAGCACGCGCGCCAGCACCTGCAGCCGCGGGGTGCGCCAGGCGGGTGCCAGGCTGCAGTCGCGTCAGAGCACGTCGCAGCCGCGCCACGGCACGCCGCTGTCGCGCCAGGACAGCCACGGCGACACCGGAAGGACGCTGCAGGAGCTGGCTACTGTCTTCGACGTGCAGAACGTGCTGAAGAAGGGAGAGTCGATTGAGGTGAGGGCTTTGGCTCACATGACTATGTGGCTACGAAACAGCACGTTCTGGGATGTTCTTTACCACTGCAGGACATACGTTTTTTTCTGACCTTGGCCGGACGAGGGAGGCTTGCATGGCCGCGTGCCTTTTCGAGGACTGACATTCAGGGGCCAGGTGGAGTGCGACGTCGGATGGCTCGCGCAACAGTGCAAGACGCTGAGCATCATGTATATCCGTGGAGCTGGAATGTGTACAGTCGAGCCAGATCAACAGGGTACCATTTGTTGTTCAGGTCTCTTTGTTACCGTCATAACTGCATGTCCAATGGCAGCGGGAAAAGGTGTATCGTAGGACGCTCCAGGAAAACGGACGACTTTAAAATTTCAGAGATATAATTTCATTGCATCATAGCTGATATATCTATGTAGAGAGCATCCGATGATATTTTGCATTTTCTCGCTGAACTCTCCAT